CGCCGCCACCACCGCCACCGCCGCCGCCGCCGCCACCACCACCGCCGCCGCCGCCACCGCCACCGGCACCTTCTGGTTTCAAACTTTTACAGAGGTTGCACTGATCTCTCCAAGCAAAATTGGTATTGCCGCATTCTGGATTGGGACACCTGTTCGAACACAAAGGAGATGAATTAACACGGTCAGTGTCATGTGCACCATACACGCCAATTTCTCTAAGATACTATTAAATGAGTCAATGTATCATAAAATATACCTCCAGTCTCCTCCGCGACCACCTCCGTCGCGTCTATCATCGCCGCCACCGCGATGATGGTCATCCCTGTCGCCACCTCCTCCGCGACCTCCAAAGCCACCGCCTCCTCGGCCTCGACCACCACCGCCGCGGCTCCCACCGCTGCGGTTGCCTTGCCAGTTACTTTTGTGCTGTGCAATTTGAACTTTTATAGTGCGGCCTTTGAACTCCTTTCCATCGAACCAGTCTATGGCCGAACGCGCTGCGTTTTGGTCGTCGTAAGTTACGGTGGCCTCGCCTTTCGATTTACCCGTATTTTTGTCTTTGTACATCCACACTTTGGGCTTGCCGGTCCGCTTATCGTGCTGCACAGATTACCAATGATCGTGTTAATACATGCCGTAGTGTTTTTTTAACCCTTTACGAAGATTCGGCGAAACATAGAAAACCTTCAACTTATGAAGGTAAATTACATATCAATTGCTTAACTTAACTATCTTGCATAAATTATGGGGCAGAGTTGTTTTATTTGTTAATACCTGATTCAACATTTTATATTGAATTTTTCGAGTGCAAAGGATTGAAAAACTTTCATTCTGGCCGTATGGGGCGTAGACGTATATTTTGATCTGGTAGTTCTAGTGTTAAGATACCTATATTTGACTCTACAATAAATTTTTAAAAATTCTTCGTCCTTCAATGAGAATCCCAAGCAGCCTGAACAAGTTCAGCGTGGGTCGTATATGACCCACGCAATAAGGAGCGTGTTAACACGTTGAATGCCGCATGATTTCAGAGAACAAAATGCACAGAATGTAAAAGATATAATATTCAATCATCTTTTATCTTGCCATTTAACTAGATCAACGTTCAATGATAATGCAATTCAAACAAATATAACATTCAATCACTTGTTTAAATTGCATTATCATTGCACGCTGATCTAGCTGAATAGCAGTGCATTAGGTGGCATTATTTATGACAGAAATGTTTTCGAATAATCATCGCTTAATTGAATGATCTATAGCAGTGTTTCCCAAGCTTTTTTGAGCCACGCCCCACCTAGCCGTTCTAACTTTCCTATGCCCCCCATGTAACATATATAATCTTCAATATTATATTATAATATTTTTATAATATTACAATATCTTTGCTATTTTGTTTCCGTGCGTAAATACTGTGAAATATATGAAGTGGCATTTCAAATTTCAAATTGCCCACATTGGGAAACACTGATTTATAGTAATTCGATTAGGCTGAAGATCACCAATGACCCCCATGGCATTCAACACATTAACACATTCGCTACCAGCGCTTCCGTCAACGGTCTCAATTATAATATATTCTTCAATCCAATAAATCTAAACAAATTATTAGAAATGAAACTAATAACAATAGCCATATGATTAACATTCTCGTTATGTAAGATATGATCACAGCCGTCACAAATACGTGACGCTGATAGCGAACGTGTTTAATCTCCCGCTCGCTATCGTCTTCTATAAACAACTGTTAGGAAGTGTTACACACTCACTTTGATTATACCAATAGCCCCGAAGTGTTGACATATTTCTTCCTCAGAGATAGACGGATCCATACCAGATACAAATATGGTATCCTCTTGCGTGACCATTCCATCGTTGCCACCGCCGCGGTCACCGTAGCCCCCTGTAATTTGGTAGGTGTTAAAAACCGTTCTGATACCACACAGCTCGAGGTAGGAATAATACTTGCAAATCTACTGTCCCTAAACCTACTCGAGTCTAAACTAACAAGTGGAAAACTTTTGTGTCGGGTTTGAAAACAGCAAAGATCTTTTTTTTACACCATGGGCGAGTAATCGAATTTTTGCCGAGCCGTTTTTTTAGAATCTTCTAACAGTTTTCAGAATTGAAATAAGATTCTTACTTAATCGGTGATTAAGTAAACACCTGAACCACATGAAATATGCGAGTACTCGAGACGCCTCCTTTTACCTTAAAGAATATGATCAGTACACTTGGAATTTGTAATTTATTCTAGTAATAATAATAATAATAACAATAATAATAATAGTAATAATAACAATGCGATTGGATATATTATTGAAGTATTTTACATTCCAATGATCTCTTCCCCCAGAGAAAAGAATTCCTCTTGTTATGTACACGTACAATTATATTTTTTTTTTCTCTAAAACTCATGTATGTTCAGAAACATACGTTTATCGTGACAACAATTGCCGTACACCCGATGAATATATATTGAATTTTGCCTGGCCTACTCATACATACATCTTAACAATCATTGAGATTTGTTACTTTGTTGATTCATAAGTACTTCTGTTATTTATATACTCATACAACACTTGTAACACCTCCATCGTTTAAAGTAACCGACTTTTCACGATACAGTTTTCTTTCTTTCTCGACCCGTGCATTAACAAAAGTATTAGTACTCGTTGCCCTGACATTCTTAGTAGCATATAATGATATGTAGAGAACACAAGGTTGCAGCTTAGCATACAAAAGGGCTGCAACATTATTTTCACCCTCGCCATTTTCCTATTATACATTCGGGGAAGCTTTTAACTGATCTGGGATATATATAGGTATCATTTTTAATTCACCAGCTGCCTTTTACACGATTTCTTTTCCTGACGGTTGTTTGAAAAAACATTTAACGTGTGTCCGTGTGAAAGGAATCTACGTGTCGATGGAAATTCCATATGTTCGGTAGAGAATTGAATCGTTAAACCTTCGTTTTGTATTATCGTGTCCCTCGTTTCTAATTACCTAGGAGTTTCGTTAAGCGCGCAGCGCATTTGTACTCTGAGTATATACGACTGTTCATATTGTGTCAATGTATATCATAGGATTTTACGAATGAAGCAACGTAACGCCCGTTTTCAATGAAAATTTTGCTACTAGAGAATTGACTAGAAAAAGCAATTGGTGATCAAAGCAGCTTTACACAATGCTGCGTTAATGTTAACATTAATGACTCTCCTTTTTTTTGCACAGTACATCAAAGAATTCTGACAAATGCATTCAGTCAGAGACAAATGCACCCCCTAACAATGTTGCAGAGCAGCCCTTTCATATAATACAAGTAACCGAGTATTTAGATGGTAAATATTAGAGTGAAAGCTTGAATAGCACCAGACTCGTACAGACAGTCTGGTGCATTTACCTTTGTTATAACCACCACGGCCACCGCCACTGCTAAAACACAGAAGCAGATATACCAATGAGTTGACTCATGGACAGACTGATCGATCGATCGATGCATGGCGAATCAAATGCTGCTCGCCACCTCTCTTCTTGATGCACCTACTGTCTAAATGTCTGTAGTCACATTATCTTAATATCTATGAATAATGTCGTGTCCACCGTCATGTTAGTCGGTCGCGTCCGGCATGCACAAAATTACCTAGATATTTTTCGTAGTAACGGTACTGAGAAAAAAAACCAAGAGTATAGCAGGTGCTTAGCACAAAGTGTTTCACTAGAACTTTAGCAAAGATAAAAATAGTCAAAAGAATCATCTGTAAAAGTTTTACCCTATTCACGCCAGATATGCATCTAACTAATTGTATTTGAAAGTTTATAGGTAAGAGATTACTATTAAGCTAACGAAACTATACACTTTGATCTCAGACAAACGAACGAAACAAATTAAGCGGACTCTAGTCAGAATAAAAAGAAGCAAACGTTCAAGTAGCAATGGAAAAAAAAATAAGAAACGGTCAACAGACATAAAACGGATATCAGTTCATTCATTAGAATCTCAACTTAAAATATATTATTCTCTTAATTACATGGACAACCGCAATCTCTTACAAAACTTTTAAACGTCTTTCAATTGTCTAGTCGATTATCAATAACCCTAAGGTAATAACACTTGAACAACAGTGGCCCCAGTGGCAGTGTTAACTGCATTACAGGTATGCTCGTTGCAAAACCTTGATACGTATGCGCATCGTATTTTACTTATTGTAATAAATGCAGAATCAGAACATATCACACACTATATGTATATATATATATATATAACCATTTTACGTCATTTGTCATATACAACCTGTTTTTACCTTTACCAGTTTATACCTGTGTGTTAAACCTGTAGGCACACTTCAAACATATTAACGCCCAGAGGGCATAAAACCATTTGCAAAGAGACAAGTTTTCAATACTGTCATAAGAACTTCATTTCATACCTTGATTAATTCAATTAATGTATTACCTTTTTCACTGATCATTATTGTCACTATGTAATTGAATCTCTTTATTGGCCTTACAACATTTCCCTGTTTCGTCGTATTTTATGTATAGATACGTAACATAAAAAATATACTTACTTGTAGCCACCGCCAGAGCGGTCATTGTATCCCCCACGATCGCCATATCTACTGCCACCACCTCCTCCTTGGCCTAAATAAATTCGATTTGTATTTTTTTATTAAAATATACACGCGTGTAACTTTATGTTTACATTTCAGAAATGTATTACATACCTCCGCCATAGCCTCCACTAGAATTATTGCGATTATAACCACCGCTGTTTCCTCCTCCACCACCACCTCCGTGTCCATAACTTCCACTGTAACTGCCACTGCCGCTATTATTTCCTGAACCACCGCCACTCCCGTAACTGTTCTGGTTGTAACTGTTTTGATTCTGTGGCTGACTGTAGTCTTGTCCACCGCTGGAATTGTAACTGTTGTAACTGCTATAGTTGCTTCCAGTATTTGGTGGTGGTTGACTATACTGATTATAGCTGCCACCACCGCTAGAAGGTGGTGGATACGAAGTATCCTGACCACCAGTGGGTGGTGGCTGACTGTACTGATTGTACCCCTGTTGCTGGTAATTTGAATATTCTGAAACGAACAAGAGAGCATCAATAAATTTTTCAAAGTAAAAATACAATCTCGTAATTATTCAAATAAAAGATAATAATTACATAAATTTTCAGGTATCTATATATCCATAAATATTTACTATACACGTACATTTCGTGAAACTAATTATCGATACGAAAACATCAACAATCGCGACATTGGAAACATTTCAAAATCATGCTTGATTCTGCTAAATCACATGTTTACCGATCGTATATATTAATAATCCCATATATTTTCGAATCATACAGAAACGAAAATGAATCCAGGGAGAAATTAAAAACGGAAATGATATATATGTACAAATCGAATAACAAAATGGAGTAGAAAAATGGGATGAGACGCTTGAAATGCCGATCAATAAATCTGATGCGTAGACGCATAGTAACAAGACTATTAGATATTTTTCTAAGTATTCCTCGATCGACTTGCGGTATTTTATTTCATCTTTTCCATTAGATTTTCTAATGCACGATTAATTACTTCAATTAGCGATGCAGTTACGTTATAAGACGTGGCGAGTGTCTACTAGCTATAGCGAAATAAATTTTCCATTCGACCAGAGTTCTGGATAATGTCTGATTTCTCGGTAAAACGGGATATTCTGTTACTGGAATATTTAGCACCGCTTCGAGTGTAAGAATTTCATATTATTTTGTACTTACGGGTGTCCGTCATCGTGCCTTCCTCCGGTATTCAAATCGCTACACGGCAGAAAAAGCACGTAATGGCGGGAATCGAGCGATTTCCCAACGACGATTCCAAACGACTCGGATCCAATGGTTCAACTCGGCGTTTTACTACCGGATGTTCGAACTTACTGAACGGAAGTCGGTGCTCTAAGAGGGCGCTGTAGAACGTGTTATTCGTTACTTCAACTGATCACCGTTGTAGCACTTACCGAATTTAAATTTGAAATTGCTAGTACACTAATCGTGTTATTTTTAAAAATTATAAAATATACTTGATGTTATTTGGAAATGTGAATTATTGATACTTGAATGGTACAATGTGTATGCCATCAACAATATCCATTAGACGCTTAATATTACAAGAAGAGAAGGGACATTATTTAATTTAAGAATTTTTTATTATTTTCGTATCATAATACTACACTTAACTTATGTTCTCAGTGCGATGTATAATTTTGGTCTTGTTTTCTGAACAAA